GCTCCTTAGCAAGGGGGCACCCCTATGTATAAAAAGAGCACAAGGTGTGCACAGATATGGGCCTTCCAAGCTTCATTTAATCTTTGATAAAACAGATTATAGTCTGAGGTCTGCATTCATGTTAAGATTGCATCCATGTTAAGATTGCTGTAATAATTGAACTGAATTCTGTTATCAGCACATGAATCTTCTGTATCAATATTCTCATTCTTCAGCATTTTTTACATGAAGTGTTATGGTTCTACAGAATTTCCAAAGATATTTTAAAACAAAAAGCAAACAACCCCCTTTCTTCTGTTTGAACATTCTCTCAGAATTCCAGGAATGCAGAATTTTACACAGGGAGTGTCCTGGGGGTCTCGCAGCCATGTGATCAGCTTCAGTGATGTGTACATGCAACACACAGTTCTGGTGTTTTTTCTAAGAGCTTGCAGTTGAAGTGATGCAGATGGAGGTCATAGGACTCACACAAACCCTTATGTCTCCTCTGACCTTCTTTTGTATTTTGTTGTGTGACACAAAAGACAAGACATTTAAGGGAGATACAAGATCATGGATGTCTTGCGTTCTGCTGCCATTGATTTGATGCAAATAGAATCAGAGCCACAAGTATTTTGTTTTTGGAACATATAGGCTATGAAGCTTTTTTAGCATTGATAATTGTGAATCTTGGATGAAGGCACCAAGGAAACCCTCTGAAGCATATAGCTAAGTAGTTAATCTTCATTTACATCAACCTTTCCCATGTTGGTGTCCTCCAGGTGTTTTGTACTTCAACTCCCATCAGTCCTGGCCAGCATGGCCACTGGTGAGGAATCCTGGGCAGTGTAGCCCCAAACTTCTGGAAGGTGCCAAGTTGAGGAAGGCTGATTTGTATGGTCAGAGATATCACTTGCTCTAGCATTTGTGGGGTGTTTATTTCACTAGCGTCAGAAGCAAGGCATTTATCAGCCAGCAGGAGAGCAGTTCAAATATAACAGGCTGCAAAGAGGAATTAGATCTGATAATTCGATCATGCTCACAGTACAGTACTTTACAAAATGATTGAGTATATATGGGCAATGAGGGAAAATGTTTCCCCCCTCTTTCTTCCTACCTTCCCAGCAAATTAAAAAGGTAACCAGTTCTATAGGTGGTTAAAAAGGATAAATGTAAAATGTTATGTGTTGTTTTTATTTACAAAACATAGAATTCAGGTTTTTGACAAGGTTTGTAGGATTTGAAGCCACACATTTGCTGAGAACAATAATCAAGAGTCTTAGCACCCAATCAAGGTGATTGAGGCATTTTTCCTCAAGAGAAAAGGGAAACCTTAGGAAGTGATTTCCTCTGATTCCTTCTATGTGTGCTGTGAACAGAAAGCATTGCTTTGGAACTCTGAAGGACTAACCCAGGAATGCACGATGATGCCGGAGCAGCTTGCTGTGAGGGGCATCTATTATGTAGCATGAGGCCCTGCCAGTCTTCCTCAAGCTTGTGCTCTCCAGATGTGTTGGATTACAACTTGCAGCATGCCCTGACTGGCTGGCTGTAGCCCAACACATCTGGAGAGTGCCAGCCTGAGAAAGACCGGCATATAATGCCCCTGAATGAGGGACAAATCAATATCTACACAAGTTAGCTGGCCTGGATCTTGCAAATCTAACACCACGGTTTTCTTTTCTTTCAGATAAAGGTAAGAAGGGACTTAACACAAAGTGGGGACTCTTTTGAAAACAAACAATCAAAGAGAATAATGTTCTGATTAAGGTTTGACAGCTGAATTGGTGGAAAAGGAGAAAGAGGACAGTTGGGAAGAAGAGCTTTGGGTAGCCTGCCTGGGCCTGACCATCTGATCTTGGGGAGAGAGAAGATAAAGAAGGTGGAAGCAGGTATATAGGCAGAGGAAGCTAAGAGATGAGATGGAAAGGAAGAGATTGAGGAAGGAAAGCGTCTTGCTAGTGACATCTCAGTAATGAACTTACTTTTCTATTTATATTAATTCTATTTATATTCATTAATATCTAATGTTATATAAGTTATTGAACTTGTGTGTGTGTGTTGTTTATTTTCCTTAACTTACCCATTTCAGAATTTGGGGTTTACTTGAAAAAGGGTGGAATTATGGAATGCCCCTTTGGGATGCCGTGTGGACAGGGCTGTGGTGGGGTGGGGGGAGTTCTTCCTTTTCATTTTTAGCTTTGTACTGTAGGTTGCATGCTTAGATTTGTCATGTGGTCAGATGTGGTACGTGGGTTGAGGAGCACTGTGTACCCTGGATGAGAGACAAGTTTGATGGCTTTGTGTTCTGTCTGTGGTTGCTTCTTCCACTCAGGTGGGAACCTGTCATGGAGAAAAATAGGGTTCCCTCCGGGTGGGAACTGGGGAGCAGGGAAGAAGTGTCAGATATACTCCAAATGAGGGGTGGAGTGAGGCTGTGAATGTTGTGGAGTGGGAGGAGGGGGTTATGCTGCCTAGTAGGTTGGCTGGCTGGCTGGATGGCCTATTCATGACTGGTGGCTGGTCATAACCACTAGATGAACTGCTATGACTGTATTTAAGGTGGTGGTATGGTGTGTGTGTGGTTTCAATGGTGAGATGCATGCTTGCATTTTGAATGGGAATGGAATGTGTGGTAATTTCTGGTGCATCGAGATGAGCACGGACAATTTTGGCACAGGGAGCTGTGGAAGTAATGCTGCCACCCCAGTGACTTGGGGAGCTGGGGAGGAGATATGGCAGAAGGAGGGGGCTGGGATATTAGAGTAGAAGGAGTTCCAGGTATTTGTAGATTGTTCAACTTCTACACCACTCCTTTAGCTCTCATGTATCTGGTAGCTCACCCACTGAGCCTTCCTGTCCTGCAATGCTGCTGTTTAATGCAGGCAATAAGGCTGAGCTCATTCATGATTTAATTGTGGAGGTGAAAAGCAACCAAGCATGTATTACTTGGGGAGTGGAGTTGCCCTGGGTATTCAGAGCAGCATCAGCATAAGCTGGAGGGCTGGGAGGAGAGTTGCTTTGCACCAAGAAATGACTCTGCCTTGGAACAGGCTTTGGGGTTTGCTCATTGGACCCTAGAGGCAGGCTGGGGATGCTGCTGGTAACTGCCTACCCTACTGCCCAGTTTCCTCCCCGATGGAGCTGGCACAAGTGG